CGGTCTGTCGGGCTGTCTACCCGGCAGCTCCCCGCCTGCTTTTCCGTACGGTCTGTCGGGCTGTCTACCCGGCAGCTCCCCGCCTGCTTTTCTGTACGGTCTGTCGGGCTGTCTACCCGGCAGCTCCCCGCCTGCTCTTCCGTGTGGCCTGTCGGGCTGTCTACCCGGCAGCTCCCCGCCTGCTCTTCCGTGTGGCCTGTCGGGCTGTCTACCCGGCAGCTCCCCGCCTGCTCTTCCGTGTGGCCTGTCGGGCTGTCTACCCGGCAGCTCCCCGCCTGCTCTTCCGTGTGGCCTGTCGGGCTGTCTACCCGGCAGCTCCCCGCCTGCTCTTCCGTGTGGCCTGTCGGGCTGTCTACCCGGCAGCTCCCCGCCTGCTCTTCCGTGTGGCCTGTCGGGCTGTCTACCGGCAGCTCCCCGCCTGCTCTTCCGTGTGGCCTGTCGGGCTGTCTACCGGCAGCTCCCCGCCTGCTCTTCCGTGTGGCCTGTCGGGCTGTCTACCCGGCAGCTCCCCGCCTGCTCTTCCGTACGGTCTGTCGGGCTGTCTACCCGGCAGCTCCCCGCCTGCTTTTCCGTACGGTCTGTCGGGCTGTCTACCCGGCAGCTCCCCGCCTGCTTTTCTGTACGGTCTGTCGGGCTGTCTACCCGGCAGCTCCCCGCCTGCTCTTCCGTGTGGCCTGTCGGGCTGTCTACCCGGCAGCTCCCCTCCTGCTCTTCCGTACGGTCTGTCGGGCTGTCTACCCGGCAGCTCCCCGCCTGCTTTTCTGTACGGTCTGTCGGGCTGTCTACCCGGCAGCTCCCCGCCTGCTCTTCCGTACGGTCTGTCGGGCTGTCTACCCGGCAGCTCCCCGCCTGCTTTTCCGTACGGTCTGTCGGGCTGTCTACCCGGCAGCTCCCCGCCTGCTTTTCTGTACGGTCTGTCGGGCTGTCTACCCGGCAGCTCCCCGCCTGCTCTTCCGTGTGGCCTGTCGGGCTGTCTACCCGGCAGCTCCCCGCCTGCTCTTCCGTACGGTCTGTCGGGCTGTCTACCCGGCAGCTCCCCGCCTGCTCTTCCGTGTGGCCTGTCAGGCTGTCTACCCGGCAGCTCCCCGCCTGCTCTTCCGTGTGGCCTGTCGGGCTGTCTACCCGGCAGCTCCCCGCCTGCTCTTCCGTACGGTCTGTCGGGCTGTCTACCCGGCAGCTCCCCGCCTGCTCTTCCGTGTGGCCTGTCAGGCTGTCTACCCGGCAGCTCCCCGCCTGCTCTTCCGTGTGGCCTGTCAGGCTGTCTACCCGGCAGCTCCCCGCCTGCTCTTCCGTGTGGCCTGTCAGGCTGTCTACCCGGCAGCTCCCCTCCTGCTCTTCCGTGTGGCCTGTCGGGCTGTCTACCTGGCAGCTCCCCGCCTGCTCTTCCGTGTGGCCTGTCAGGCTGTCTACCGGCAGCTCCCCGCCTGCTCTTCCGTGTGGCCTGTCGGGCTGTCTACCGGCAGCTCCCCGCCTGCTCTTCCGTGTGGCCTGTCGGGCTGTCTACCGGCAGCTCCCCGCCTGCTCTTCCGTGTGGCCTGTCGGGCTGTCTACCGGCAGCTCCCCGCCTGCTCTTCCGTACGGTCTGTCGGGCTGTCTACCCGGCAGCTCCCCGCCTGCTCTTCCGTACGGTCTGTCGGGCTGTCTACCCGGCAGCTCCATGCGTGCTCTTCCGTACGGTCTGTCGGGCTGTCTACCCGGCAGCTCCCCGCCTGCTCTTCCGTGTGGCCTGTCAGGCTGTCTACCCGGCAGCTCCCCGCCTGCTCTTCCGTGTGGCCTGTCAGGCTGTCTACCCGGCAGCTCCCCGCCTGCTCTTCCGTGTGGCCTGTCAGGCTGTCTACCCGGCAGCTCCCCGCCTGCTCTTCCGTGTGGCCTGTCGGGCTGTCTACCCGGCAGCTCCCCGCCTGCTCTTCCGTGTGGCCTGTCAGGCTGTCTACCCGGCAGCTCCCCGCCTGCTCTTCCGTGTGGCCTGTCGGGCTGTCTACCCGGCAGCTCCCCGCCTGCTTTTCTGTACGGTCTGTCGGGCTGTCTACCCGGCAGCTCCCCGCCTGCTCTTCCGTGTGGCCTGTCGGGCTGTCTACCCGGCAGCTCCCCGCCTGCTCTTCCGTACGGTCTGTCGGGCTGTCTACCCGGCAGCTCCCGCCTGCTCTTCCGTGTGGCCTGTCGGGCTGTCTACCGGCAGCTCCCCGCCTGCTCTTCCGTGTGGCCTGTCGGGCTGTCTACCGGCAGCTCCCCGCCTGCTCTTCCGTGTGGCCTGTCGGGCTGTCTACCCGGCAGCTCCCCGCCTGCTCTTCCGTGTGGCCTGTCGGGCTGTCTACCGGCAGCTCCCCGCCTGCTCTTCCGTGTGGCCTGTCGGGCTGTCTACCCGGCAGCTCCCCGCCTGCTCTTCCGTACGGTCTGTCGGGCTGTCTACCCGGCAGCTCCCCGCCTGCTCTTCCGTGTGGCCTGTCGGGCTGTCTACCCGGCAGCTCCCCGCCTGCTCTTCCGTGTGGCCTGTCGGGCTGTCTACCCGGCAGCTCCCCGCCTGCTCTTCCGTACGGACTGTCGGGCTGTCTACCCGGCAGCTCCCCGCCTGCTCTTCCGTACGGTCTGTCGGGCTGTCTACCCGGCAGCTCCCCGCCTGCTCTTCCGTGTGGCCTGTCGGGCTGTCTACCGGCAGCTCCCCGCCTGCTCTTCCGTGTGGCCTGTCGGGCTGTCTACCCGGCAGCTCCCCGCCTGCTCTTCCGTGTGGCCTGTCGGGCTGTCTACCCGGCAGCTCCCCGCCTGCTCTTCCGTACGGTCTGTCGGGCTGTCTACCCGGCAGCTCCCCGCCTGCTCTTCCGTACGGTCTGTCGGGCTGTCTACCCGGCAGCTCCCCGCCTGCTCTTCCGTACGGTCTGTCGGGCTGTCTACCCGGCAGCTCCCTGCCTGCTCTTCCGTGTGGCCTGTCGGGCTGTCTACCGGCAGCTCCCCGCCTGCTCTTCCGTGTGGCCTGTCGGGCTGTCTACCCGGCAGCTCCCCGCCTGCTCTTCCGTACGGTCTGTCGGGCTGTCTACCCGGCAGCTCCCCGCCTGCTCTTCCGTGTGGCCTGTCGGGCTGTCTACCCGGCAGCTCCCCGCCTGCTCTTCCGTACGGTCTGTCGGGCTGTCTACCGGCAGCTCCCCGCCTGCTCTTCCGTGTGGCCTGTCGGGCTGTCTACCCGGCAGCTCCCCGCCTGCTCTTCCGTGTGGCCTGTCAGGCTGTCTACCCGACAGCTCCCCGCCTGCTCTTCCGTGTGGCCTGTCAGGCTGTCTACCGGCAGCTCCCCGCCTGCTCTTCCGTGTGGCCTGTCAGGCTGTCTACCCGGCAGCTCCCCGCCTGCTCTTCCGTGTGGCCTGTCAGGCTGTCTACCGGCAGCTCCCCGCCTGCTCTTCCGTGTGGCCTGTCGGGCTGTCTACCGGCAGCTCCCCGCCTGCTCTTCCGTGTGGCCTGTCAGGCTGTCTACCGGCAGCTCCCCGCCTGCTCTTCCGTGTGGCCTGTTGGGCTGTCTACCGGCAGCTCCCCGCCTGCTCTTCCGTACGGTCTGTCGGGCTGTCTACCCGGCAGCTCCCCGCCTGCTCTTCCGTGTGGCCTGTCGGGCTGTCTACCCGGCAGCTCCCCGCCTGCTCTTCCGTGTGGCCTGTTGGGCTGTCTACCGGCAGCTCCCCGCCTGCTCTTCCGTACGGTCTGTCGGGCTGTCTACCGGCAGCTCCCCACCTGCTCTTCCGTACGGTCTGTCGGGCTGTCTACCCGGCAGCTCCCCGCCTGCTTTTCCGTACGGTCTGTTGGGCTGTCTACCGGCAGCTCCCCGCCTGCTCTTCCGTACGGTCTGTCGGGCTGTCTACCCGGCAGCTCCCCGCCTGCTCTTCCGTGTGGCCTGTTGGGCTGTCTACCCGGCAGCTCCCCGCCTGCTCTTCCGTGTGGCCTGTTGGGCTGTCTACCCGGCAGCTCCCTGCCTGCTCTTCCGTACGGTCTGTCGGGCTGTCTACCCGGCAGCTCCCCGCCTGCTCTTCCGTGTGGCCTGTCAGGCTGTCTACCCGGCAGCTCTGTGCGTGCTTTCTTTCCTTGGAGCCCTGTGTCTTGGAGGCCATGGTCCTGATTGTTTCTAGACCTGCACAGTTGTTAGCCTGGGTTTTCTTGGGATCTCCTTTCACCCCTCTTCAATGTGGGACCCTCTTCGCTGAATCTTAAATGTCTCCTTTTTTTTTTAATCCCAGCAGGCATGGGAAGGTCTTTTTTTTGTTTGTTTCTTTTTTTTTGAGACAAAGTCTCGCTCAGTTGCCCATTCTAGAGTGCAGTGGCAGGATCTCAGCTCACTGCAGCCTCGGCCTCCCAGGTTCAAGCGATTTCTCTGCCTCAACCTCCTGAGTAGCTGGAATTTCAGGTGCGTGCAACCACACCCAACTGATTTTCGTATTATTAGTAGAGACAGGGTTTCACCCTCTTGGTCAGGCTGGTCTTGAACTCCTAACCTTGTGATCCACCTGCACTGGCCTCCCAAAGTGCTGGGATTACAGGCATGAGCCACCGCACTCGGCCTAATTTTTGTATTTTTCAGTAGCGACAGAGTTTCACCATGTTGGCCAGCTTGGTCTTCAACTCCTGACCTCAGGTGATCCCCCTGCCTTGGCCTGCCAAAGTGCTGGGATTATAGGTGTGAACCACTGTGCCTGGCCTAACATTGTTTTATTCATTATGCTGGGCACATGTTTTTGACTTAGGTACAGCATCTTGACTAGGGAATATAGAGAATTATTTTATTGTGAAACGTAACATATAAGAAATAAGTGTGCAACGTTTATAGATTCCTTAACAAATATTACCAGATGAACCGCTCTGTTTTCTGCTGCCGAGATGGAGAAATCAAGCCCTTTAGCACCGGACGGCCTTCGTGACCCTCCTAGTCATGACACCCATCCCCAACCAAGGGCATCAGAGTTTGGTCACAGTCACCTTCCACCTTCAGTAGTTTTCTTACCTCTCTATTTAATAATTTTTTAAAATTAAAAATAATTAATTTTTTAATATATAAAGACGGGGTTTCACCATACTGACCAGCGTGGTCTTGAACTCCTGACCTCAGGTGATCCACTCGCCTTGGCCTCCCAAAGTGCTGGGATTACAGGCATGAGCCCCTGCGCCCGGCCTTTCTTACCTCTCTAAACTGAAGAGCCAAGAGTTGTGTCTGTTTCTGCCCTTAGCATTAATGGAATCGTGCAGTCTATTTTCCTCTGTTTCTTGCTGTTTTTGCCCCGTGTCATCTGGGGGGGGTGTTCCGTGTTGCTCTGGGTAGCTAGAGTTAGCCCTTTTTGTTTTTGTGTTTTTTTTGAGATGGAGTTTCGCTCTTGTTACCCAGGCTGGAGTGCAATGGTGCGATCTCGGCTCACCTCAACCTCCACCTCCTGGGTTCAAGCAATTCTCCTACCTCAGCCTCCCGAGTAGCTGGGACTATAGGCACGCACCACCATGCCCAGCTAATTTTTTGTATTTTTAGTAGAGACGGGGTTTCACCTTGTTGACCAGGATGGTCTTGATCTCTTGACCTTGTGATCCACCTGCCTCGGCCTCCCAAAGTGCTGGGATTACAGGCGTGAGCCACCGCGCCTGGCCTGGAGTTAGCTCTTTTTGTTGCTGGGTAGCACTCCGTTGTCTGAAGGGTCCACAGCTTATTTCTCCATTTTACTGAGGATTGGACATTTGGGTTGTTTTCTGTTTTCTGCTCTCATGAATGTCTTCTCCTGTGTATTTCTTTAGGTTACGTAAGATTTCTTTAGGGTAGTTAAGAGGAGTATATTCTTTCTGACTGCCCTACCAGAAAAAAAGAAAACAAAAGAGTAATATGCCAGCTCATAGGAAAGGTGACCACATAATTACTCACTCAGGATGTTTGTCTGAGAGTCAGAGAGGGCACTGTGAGCACTTGCTGCATAATGGTCAGAACTGGGCCTGCCCTGGGCACGCTGCCCTGCCATAGAGTCTGCACATCCACACAACGCAAGACCACAGAACAGTCCTGCCCACTTGCGCTCCCACCAGCACAGTGTGAGTTCACATCCGCCCGCATCTCTGCCACAACTCGGTGTTGGCTGACTTTGGTTGTTGGCGGTCTGGTGAGCACATCATGGTGTCTAGTGCAGGCCTAGCTTTTCCCCCATTTCTCCATCAGATAAGAAAGCAGAGATAGACATCCTGGCTGCAGAGTACATCTCCACAGTGAAGACGTTGTCTCCAGACCAGCGCGTAGAGCGCCTGCAGAAGATCCAGAACGCCTACAGCAAGTGCAAGGAATACAGCGATGACAAAGTGCAGCTGGCCATGCAGACCTATGAGATGGTGAGGGTGGGGCCCAGGGCCATGCAGACCTATGAGGTGGTGAGGGTGGGGCCCGGGGCCATGCAGACCTATGAGGTGGTGAGGGCGGGGCCCGGGGGCCGTGCAGACCTATGAGGTGGTGAGGGCGGGGCCCGGGGGCCATGCAGACCTATGAGATGGTGAGGGCGGGGCCCGGGGCCATGCAGACCTATGAGGTGGTGAGGGCGGGGCCCGGGGGCCATGCAGACCTATGAGGTGGTGAGGGCGGGGCCCGGGGGGCCATGCAGACCTATGAGATGGTGAGGGCGGGGCCCGGGGCCATGCAGACCTATGAGATGGTGAGGGCGGGGCCCGGGGGCCATGCAGACCTATGAGGTGGTGAGGGCGGGGCCCGGGGGCCATGCAGACCTATGAGATGGTGAGGGCGGGGCCCGGGGCCATGCAGACCTATGAGGTGGTGAGGGCGGGGCCCGGGGGCCATGCAGACCTATGAGGTGGTGAGGGCGGGGCCCGGGGCCATGCAGACCTATGAGATGGTGAGGGCGGGGCCCGGGGGCCATGCTGACCTGCGACATGGTGAGGGCGGGGCGCGGGGGCCATGCAGACCTGCAACATGGTGAGGGCGGGGCCCCGGGGCCATGCAGACCTGCGACATGGTGAGGGCGGGGCCCGGGGGCCATGCAGACCTGCGACATGGTGAGGGCGGGGCCCGGGGGCCATGCAGACCTGCGACATGGTGAGGGCGGGGCCCGGGGGCCATGCAGACCTGCGACATGGTGAGGGCGGGGCCCCGGGGCCATGCAGACCTGCGACATGGTGAGGGCGGGGCCCCGGAGCCATGCAGACCTGCGAGATGGTGAGGGTCGGTCAGGGGCCACGGCTCTTCCTCCAACCTCTATTCCTGCCTCTCCTGCAACAAAGTGGAAAAGCTGCCCAGAAATGGGCATAGCCAAGTGGAAGTCTGGCTTTGGTAGACTGACGCTGCTGGAGAAACTACGGACTGGGGAATACACTTCATGTGGGACCATTCCTGTGTTGTTGTTTTTTTTTTTCTGGGCCTTTTTGTTTGTGTATGTGCTCAGAGGAACCATTTTTTTTTGAGACAGTCTTGCTCTGCCAGGCTGGAGTGCAGTGGTATGATCTCTGCTCAGTGCAACCTCTGCATCCTGGGCTCAAGCAATTCTCATGCCTCAGCCTCCCGAGTAGCTGGCATTATAGGCATATAGTTCCATGCCCAGCTAATTTTTGTATTTTTAGAAGAGACAGGGTTTCACCCTGTTGACCAGGCTGGTCTCAAACTCCTGACTGATCCGCCCACCTCAGCCTCTCAAAGTGCTGGATTACAAGCATGAGCCACTGTGCCCAGCCTTCAAGTGGCCATATTTATTATTGTTATTTTGAGACGTACTTTTTACTCTTGTTGCCCAGGCTGGAGTGCAATGGCACGATCTTTACTCACTGCAACCTCCTCCTCCCAGGCTGAAGCGATTCTTCTGCCTCAGCATCCCAAGTAGCTGGGATTACAGTCATGCACCACTACCAACAGGCTAGTTTTTGAATTTTTAATAGATGGAGTTTCAGTATGTTGGACAGGCTGGTCTCGAACTCCTAGCCTCAAATGATCCACCTGCCGTGGCCTCCCAGAGTGCTGGTACTATAGGTGTGAGCTACCACACCTGGCCAAAATTTTGTTTTTTTAGTAGAGACAGGATTTTATCATGTTGGTCAAGCTGGTCTTGAACTCCTGACCTCAGGTGATCTGCCTGCCTCCACCTCCCACAGCGTTGGGATTACAGGTGTGAGCCGCTGCGCCTGGCCTCTAGGTGACCGTATTTTAAGGTAAGATTCAGTGTTGGATGTCCAGCCCTTGTTCCACCACGTTTCATAACACTTCTCATTCTTGCCTACACTCACGTCTTTTCCTTAAATGGGATTTATTCCATCGCAGTTTCAAAATATACAGAAAGAGCACAAGACTCTTGGATGGACTTTGAAGGAGTGGGCCTTGTTCATCGAAGACTCAGGGAAACTGTGAGCCTGGTGGATACTCCACGTTCGCGGTTTCCGAGGCGTCCTGCTTTTACTCTAAAATGAGACTGTGCGTGTCCTTTTGTAGGTGGATAAACACATTCGAAGGCTTGATGCAGACCTGGCACGCTTTGAGGCCGACCTGAAGGACAAGATGGAGGGCAGTGACTTTGAAGGCTCCGGAGGGCGAGGACTAAAAAGCAAGTCTGTTCATTTTTTCTCTATTACTGTTAACTGTGGAGTTGTGGAGTTTTGTCACTGTGGCGAGTCACTAACTTACGATCGCGATGGTAAGTATCATATTTGGGTAAACCTTGTCTTGCAGGCTGGGCACAGCGGCTCATGCTTGTAACCCCAGCACTTTGGGAAGCCGGGACAGGAGGATTGCTTGAGGCCAGGAGTTCAAGACCAACCTGGGCAACATAGCGAGACCTCATCTCTACGAAAAGTTTAAAAATTAGCCGGGTGTGGTGGTGCACACCTGTGGTCCCAGCTACTCGGGAGGCTGAGGTGGGTGGATCGCTTTAGCCTGGGAGGTCAGTCAATGCTGTAGTGAGCTATGATTGCTCCATTGCATTCCAGTCAGCCTGGGAGACAAAGCTGGACCCCATCTTAAAAACAAAACACAAAACGTGTCTTGCTTTAGCGAATTCTATAAAAGTAATTTGCATCTTATTTTTCAGAAGGCCGGGGTCAGAAAGAAAAAAGAGCATCCCGGGGCCGAGGCAGGAGGACATCAGAGGAAGACACACCAAAGAAAAAGAAGCATAAAGGAGGGTAAGAGGCCTTCCCCTCTTTTTCCCAAGAGAGCAAATACCAATATCCTGTATCCCTGATGTAGAAACACTGATGGACGCTGACCCCTGAGTGAATGCACACTGCGTGCTGGGTGGTGTTCTGATTCTTACCGCTGCGTGCCTGTTGTCAGCCCCTCCTCGCAGCAGCCTTGGAGGGAGTGCCATCGTCAGGGCCATTTTCAGTGTCACAGGGACCTGGTGAGGCTTGAGAGCTGCTGTGGTGTGGACGGGCCTGCACCCGGAGTCTGACTGCAGCACCTGTCTCCTCTTAGCCATGGTGTATGCTTGCCCCGCTAGGGACAGGAGGGTGGGGAGCGTGCTGACGACAGGCCAATCGAAAACACTCTTTTAGTAGCTAGGTTTTTGTGTATCTGTCAGTTATTTTCTGTATCAGTATGTAGTTCCTTCATGCATATTCATTGTTAAATTATGTGGCCACATTTGTTAAATAGATGTATCATTTAACCTGAAGTTCTTTGAGAGACTTTATTTAAAGCATTCTCCCGCTGACATCCTCCCTGCCAGAGGTATTGTATACCCTCCAAAGAGATCGTGGCATTAGCTCAGAGGAGTTGCCTTTAGACTGAAGAGAACACACTGCAATGCCACGTAACCTCGTCGGAGATGACTGTGACAGGAGTGGCCAAAGAGTGTCAGTTCTGGGTATGGTGGCTCATGCCTACAATTCCAGCACTTTGGGAGGCCAAGGCGAGAGGATCACTCGAGCCCAGGAATCTGAGACCAGTCTGGGCAACAAAGTGAGACCCCCATCTCTACAAAAAATAGAGAAAGCTGGCTGGGTGTGGTGGCGTGGGCTGCAGTCCCAGCTACTAGGGGAGGCTGAGCTGGGAGGATCAGGAGCCACAATCATAGTACTGCTCTGGGCCACAGCATGAGACCCTGTCTCAAAGAAAAAAGGAGACAAAAAAGGGACCATTTTCAGTTTTTAAAGCGACTGCTTAGCCTTTTGGCTGGGCACAGTGGCTTTGCAAGACCAAGGCAGGTTGATCACCTGAGGTCAGGAATTTGAGTCCAGCCTGACCAACATGGCGAAACCCCGTCTCTATTAAAAAATGCAAAAAACGCCAGGCGCGGTGGCTCACGCCTGTAATCCCAGCACGTTGGGAGGCCGAGGCGGGTGGATCACGAGGTCAAGAGATCGAGCCCATCCTGGTCAACATGGTGAAACCCCGTCTCTACTAAAAATACAAAAATTAGCTAGGCATGGTGGCGCGTGCATGTAATCTCAGCTACTCGGGAGGCTGAGGCAGGAGAATTGCCTGAACCCAGGAGGCGGAGGTTGCGGTGAGCCGAGATCACGCCATTGCACCCCAGCCTGGGTAACAACCGAAACTCCATCTCAAAAAGTGCAAAAAACTTAGCTGGGCCTGGTGGCAGCCACCTGTAATCTCAACTACTCAGGAGGTTGAGTCAGGGAGAATTGCTGGAACCTGGGAGGCCGAGGTTTCATTGAGCTGAGATCACGCCACTCCACCCCAGCCTGGGCAACAGAGCGAGACTCGGTCTCAAAAAAAAAAAAAAATTTCAACATTTTTGTATTATAAAGTAGTGCACAGATACAGAAAACCACACAGAACAAACATGGTTTAATTAATTTCCGTAAAGTGAAGCTGTTTGTAACTAGCCCCTAGCAGTGAGTAACTGCTGTTGGAAGGCCTTCCATACACCTGTAAACTCCTTCTGCTCCCAAATAAACCATCCAGATTTCTATAGTGTTTATTTTCTTGTTTCTTTAATAGTTTTTTTTTTTTTTTGAGACGGAGTTTCGCTCTTGTTGCCCAGGCTGGAGTGCAGTGGTGTGATCTTGGCTCACGGCAACCTCTGCCTCCCAGGTTGAAGAGATTCTTCTACCGCAGCCTCCTGAGTAGCTGGGATTACAGGCATGCGCCACCACGCCTGGCTAATTTTTTGTATTTTTAGTAGAGATGGGGTTTCGCCATGTTAGTCAGGCTGGTCTTGAACTCCTGACCTCAGGTGATCTGCCCGTCTCGGCCTCGTAATGTGCTGGGATTTTAGACATGAGCCACTGTACCCGGCCCCTTTAATAGTTTTATACTGCATTCCTACACACTATATATTATAGTTTGGTCCTGCTGGTTTTTTTTTTTTTAACATTTTAAATTAACTTTATTAAGGAATAATTTACATACAATAAAATGTTAACATTTTAAGTGTACAGTTTGATGGTGCATTTAGTTCCTTTAAAGTTATGAAAGTATTCAGGCTTTCTGTTTCTTCTCTCTTTTTTTTAAGATGGGGTTTCACCATGTTGGCCAGGCTGGTTTTGAACTCCTGACCTCAGGAGATCCACCCCCTTCAGCCTCCCAAAGTGCTAGGATTACAGGCGTGAGCCACCGTGCCTGGCTTTTCTGTTTCTTCTCAAGTCAGTTTTGGTAATCTGTGTCTTTCAAGAAATGTGTTTCATGTAAGTTGTCAGACTTGACGTCAGGTTGTTAATAATTTTGCGTTATTGCCGGGTGTGGTGGCTCATGCCTATAATACCAGCATTTTGGGAGGCTGAGGCTGGCAGATCACCTGAGATCGGGAGTTCAAGATCAGCCTGACCAACATGGAGAAGCCCCATCTCTACTAAAAATATCAAAAATTAGCTAGTGTGGTGGTGCACGCCTGTAATCCCAACTACTTGGGAGGCTGAGGCGGGAGAATCGCTTGAACCTGGGAGGCGGAGGTTGCAGTGAGCCGAGATTGCCCAGTACTCCGGCCTGGGCAACAGAGTGAAACTCCGTCTCAGAATAGAAAAATAATAGTTTTGCGTTATTATCCTTCTGATGTTGTAATGTCTGTGGTGATGACCCGTCTTTCAGTCCTGATATTGGTAATTTATGTTTCCCTCATTTTGTCTTGATCCTTTTTTTTTTTTTTTTTGAGACAGGGTCTTGCTCTGTCACCCAGGCTGGAGTGCAGTGGCGTGCACATGGCTCACTGCAGCCTCTACCTGCCGAGCTCAAGCAGTTCTCCCACCTCCGCCTCCCAAGTACCTAGGACCACAGGCATGCACCATTATGCCTGGCTAGTTTTTTGTGTATTTTTGTAGAGACAGGGTTTTGCCATGTTGCCTAGGCTGGTCTCAAACAAATGGGCTCCAGCAGTCTGCCCCACCTCAACCTCCCAGTGTGTTGAGATTACAGGTGTGAGACACTGTGTCTGCCCATCTTGATCTTTTTAGAGAGCTAAGTTTTAGTTTCATTATTTTTATTGTTTTCATTTTCTACTGCATTTGTTTCTGCTGTTTCTTTTGGTCTACTCAGGTTTACTTTGCCTGTACTTTTCTAGCCTTTTAAGGTGTAAATAGCTTGGATAATTGATTTTTATGCCTGCCTTGTTCTAATTACTATTTTTGTTACACTCCACAAATTTTGATCCAATTTTGATACATTATGTTTTTATTTTTTATTTTATTTTATTTTTGAGACAGTTTCGCTCTTGTCACCCAGGCTGGAGTGCAATGGCGCAATCTCGGCTCACCGCAACCTCCGCCTCCTGGGTTCAGGCAATTCTCCTGCCTCAGCCTCCTGAGTAGCTGGGATCACAGGCACGCGCCACCATGCCCAGCTAATTTTTTGTATTTTTAGTAGAGACGGGGTTTCACCATGTTGACCAGGATGGTCTTGATCTCTTGACCTCGTGATTCACCCACCTCGGCCTCCCAAAGGGCTGGGATTACAGGCTTGAGCCACCGCGCCCGGCCTGTTTTTAGTTTTTATTTTATTAAATACCTATCTAAAGTATTTTAGATTTTTTTTTCTTTTTGTTCGAGATGAGGTCTCTCTGTCACCCAGGCAGTGGCATGATCTTGGCTCATTGCAGCCTCCACCTCCGGGGCTCAAGCGATCCTCCCACTTCAGCCTCCCTAGTAGCTGGGACCACAGGTACATGCCACCATGCCTGACTAATTTTTTGTATTTTTGGTAGAGATGGAGTTTCACCATGTTGCCCGGCTGGTCTTGAACTTCTGAGCTCAAGTGATCCACCCACTTTGGCCTCCCAAAGTGCCGGAATATAATTTGTGTGTGTGTGTGAGACGGAGCCTTGCTCTGTTGCGCAGGCTGGAGTGCAGTGGCATGATACTGGCTCACTGCAACCTCCACCTTCTGGGTTCAAGTGATGCTCCTTCAGCTTCCTGAGTAGCTGGGATTACAGGCGCCCACCACCACACCCAGTTAATTTTTGTATTTTTAGTAGAGACAGAGTTTCACCATGTTGGCCAGACTGGTCTCAAACTCCTGACCTCGTGATCCGCCCGCCTCAACCTCCTAAAGTGCTAGGATTACAGGCGTGAACCAGCACACCCAGCCTTCTTTTTTTTTTTTTTTTTTTTTAGAGACGGGGTTTCACCTTGTTGGCCAGGATGGTCTTGACCTCCTGACCTCGCAATCTACCCGCCTCGGCCTCCCAAAGTGCTGGGATTACAGGCATAAGCCACCACACTCAGCCGCCTTCATTTCTTAATATTTATTTTCTTTCTTTAAAAAAATTTTTCAGGCCAGGTGTGGTGGCTCAAGCCTATAATCCCAGCACTTTGGGAGGCCAAGGCGGGTGGATCACAAGGTCAAGAGATCGAGACCATCCTGGTCAACAGGGTGAAACCCCATCTCTACTAAAAATACAAAAAATTAGCTGGGCATCGTAATCCCAGGCATGTGCCTGTAGTCCCAGCTACTCTGGAGGCTGAGGCAGGAGAATTGCCTGAACGCAGGAGGCGGAGGTTGCGGTGAGCCGAGATTGCGCCATTGCAGTCCAGCCTGGGTAACAAGAGCGAAACTCCGTCTCGGGGGAAAAAAAAAAAAAAATTCTCCATACATATTCTGCTTATGTATATTTCTTTATGTGGATGCAGATTTCTATCTGTTGTCATTATTCCTCTGTCTGAAGAAGTTTCTTTCCCGGTTTTTACAGTACATGTACGCTGATGGTGATGAATTCTCTTAAGTTTTTGTT